CCGGCTGTAAACTCTGGCGGAAAGTTCTGGTTGTTCGTCCACTTCTGGACTTTAGTCTTGTTTGAGAACTTGCGTTTCACGCGCACATCCATTTTACAAACCTGGCTTATAAAGATGTCCATTTTATTGGGACATGGATGATACAGTTAATGAGATAACTGTGTGGGTCCCGGGTTCAAATGCTGAAGTTAAAACAGATAAGTCCCACTGCCGCATAACAAGCATGTCGTAAAAGACGACTAAGTATAGATATATGAAAATCGGAAGTGTTACTGATGCAGCAGTCTAGACATAAATGACAACACAGAGTGACGACTGTCCCTTTGAGGGCGAGTTGAGTTGAGTCAACAATTGACATCACAGCACTCGGGGCATTCCCGTGCGTGCTCCGTCCTCATCTTCAGCAGCCAGCGCAGAGTTCCAGTACTTATGGTACCTGTCACAATCTGGTTATATGTCCGTCTTGCCTTTCCTCTGAGTGTAAGTGAGCCGGCCAAACCCTCTGGTTACACCCAGGTGTCTCATTCTCTCCAGGCCATAATAATCTTGTTTCTCTACTAATTCCGATGCTTGTGCCCTAAGGGCCTGGACCACATCTGCCTGGTCAGGTACCTTTGAGGGCGAGTAAAGAAAAAGCTTTTAACACGAATCAGTGTCTTACTTTCACAGCTGCTTTTTCATTTGTGGATGCTCTGGAACGTCCCCACGCCCTACCTCCCCTCCCCTCCTGCAGTCTTCTTTTTCCCTCTGTGTGTCTGAGTGCATATAGCAACGGACGAGAAAGCCCTTGTTTAGGGGAGGGGTGGGGGCTGCGTGGTCTCGAGTCATGGTGTCCGCCTCGAGTGCTACAGGTTCCGGGTTCAATCCCCGTTAAGAGCTGGGATATTTTTCACGTGGAATTGGAATTCTCCCTCGTCTCTAGGTAGTGAGATCCGACGCCCGTGTGTATTGTTGCGCATGTAAAAAATCCCTTGGCAGTTGGAAATCGAAAAGAGTAGCCTAACAGCGCTGCCCGGGCAAAATGTGGAGTTAAAAATCTACCTAAAGTATTTTAGGATCCTCACCGGTGATATAAAGTCTGTGCTGAGCTTCTTCGGACTCGAGTTAGAAGAAGAACAGAGCACTTATGGCTTACTACCCGTTTGCCATGATGTTGATCTGTTGTTCAAAACTTCAAACCCTGGTACCAAGTACCACAGAGAGCCATGCCCACGCTTCTTCTTCTTCTTCGCGTTCACTGGCTGTAAACTCCGGTGGAAAGTTCTGGTTGTTCGGTCACTTCTGGACTGCAGTCCTGTTCCAGAACCTGAGTGTTGCGTGTGCATCAGTTTGACAGATCTGTATGCAGGCTGTTGGTTCCTTGCCTCTCAGGCAGATGCACTCCGACTTCAAAGGAAGCTCCCAATTAGTCGACTCTTACGACATGCTTTTGGGTAGGCAGTGGGTCTATTCTTGTTTTTCCCATAGTAGGGCCCCGGAACCCACACGGGGATGCCCACGCTGAAGACATACACTAAACACATACAAATAAACGCTGAATATCACAGATACACTGAACTAGATTCACAAAGCGGGATCTAGCAAGGGGAAACAACTGTCGCAGATGGGTCGTGATAGTAGCGAAGTACTACTACAAACGAACTACCACATAATGTTGATGATGAATTTAAATTCAGCGAAATCCCATTTTCATTCTTAAGAAACTTTCTATAAATAAACTATCTAAGAAAAGAATTGATCATTTTTTCTTTCATGGATACGTTGCCAATAGGTTCTTTGTGAACGTATGTTGTTGTATTCAATAGCATTTCCCTATTTCATCGAGATGTGTTAATTCTCTATTGTGAAGGATTCTTTGTCGAAACACCCTTTGTTTCGTGTATTCGGCGTCCTTTATTCATAGATTCTTTATTTAATTTCATTCACCAGAAAACCGCGAGGAGAAATTACTACGCTGCTGGAACTATAAACAAGTGGAAACAGATTAACCGGTTTGACTGGTTTCATTCAAGAACCACATAAACGCCATTTTCAGGCAAACCTGTTCTATACCCAGTGTTCTTCAACTGGTCGCCCTCAGGCCACTGCCAGATCGCCAATAAGTTCCGCCCCCAATCATGCAGCGGCCACAACCTTCAGGAGCTACATTCATGCTGATCGAACCAGCGCTGCATACGACAATGTTGCGCTGCAAGTATGGGCACTGTCCTTTTTTTTATTTAAAGACAGAAACTAAATGGATGTTAGTGTAGAGCTTCGTCTCTCAGAAACAACGCTCCAGCCCCGTATATACGGTTCTCTAGCCACCCAGTTGCAGCAGATTTTTTTTTTTTTTGTTATTAGCTAAAGGTTATTTTACAGCTAAATAAAATAAATAAAATACTACTAACATATAATGAAGTTATGTGGCTTACAGGTTTGTCAAATTGTTTCACAATCCAATTTTCGACGAACCAGAGTTCCATTTCTACATCGATTTTGTTTTTAAAGACCGTTCTATTAGTTTTTAGACAGTGGAACGAACGTCTCATCCTGGTAGAGATTGGGGTTTTCACTGTGTTATATTCTGAAGAACAGCAGTGTGTGCCTCGCAGCAAACCTCCATCTTAGGGACGCTAACTTTTTTTTTAAAGCCTACATTTGGTTTTCTGCCGGTCCGCCAAACATGTCTCCTACAATGTTTCGTCGAAAATAAGACCAGGTCACATTTTTGTTCACTACAGAAGAGGGCTTGTTTTTATGTGTTGTCTATCTTAATGTACAAAATTAACAACCCCCCCCCCCCTTTACCTTTAACCTTTACGTACAAAACTCCATCAAGCACTGGATCGCAAACTATTCCTCCCCACAACGCTTAATGGCAGAAGTGGAAATTTATGATAATGATAACAAAACTACATAATTATTCAAGCATCAATGACAATAATGTAATTTATTTATACACTCATTTGTAAACTCAGTACGTCTATCGTGTATTTGTTTACTCTGACTAACGCAATCCGCCAGTCTGCCTAACAATTTGTAACTGAGGCTTATTTTTGGTCGGACTGTTTGTGTTAGCCCTTCTGATGGCTGCACTATGCTTTTAATGCGAGTGCATGCTTGTGGATATGCTGAGACTGCAGTCTGCATCACTTTTCCCCCAGTGATGGACATTATGTATGTTTTTGTTGGCACAGGAGCGGAGCAACTATGGGGAGACCCATTTGCTTTGAAACTAGTATTATCAAGTATATCAACGAGTATTCTTCAGAAAAAAAAATCATACCTCGGCCTATCTTCGTGTTTTGTCGTATAATTTAGAGTTTAGAGGAACCGGGTATTTTGTAAAATGTTGAAGAACACTGTCCTATACAATTTACTGCATACATATATATTCAAATACTAAACGGCGTTAGATACGGAGTGGCGCGGGTGTATGGCATGTGTGCTCTTCGACAACCAGGAAAGATAACGCCACATTAATATACCCACAAAAAGCCACATAGACATTTCGAAATTCCACAGACCAGGGAAAATTACTAACGTCCACGTTCACCTGGGCATAAACTGGGGACCTCCAGCAGGGCAGGACTGGCTAATTTCCCGTTTAATCTTCTTCTTCTTTCTCTCTCCCAATCGAGCATAGGCACTCAACCAACTCACACCACGTCGTCCTGTCCTTTCCTGTTGGTGCTATTAATTCCAACTTGCTCCACGTTCTGTCATCTTACGTTATGACAATCGACGTCTTTGCACACTAGCCATCCCCAGGCGTGCTCAGTCCTCAGAATACAGCAGGTCGCCTCGAGTGCTGGAGGTCCCGGGTTCAAGCACCGGTGAAGGCTGGGATTTTTTCACGTGGATTTCTAGTAATTTCCCCTGGTGTATGGGTAGTAAAATTGGCCGCCCATGTCTTTTTGCGCACGTAAAATTAAAATCCCTAGGCAGTCGGAAATTGAAAAAAAGTAGCCTAACGGCGCTACCCGACAAAATTTGGAGTTAAAAATCTACCCAAAGTATTTCAAGATCCTTGCCGGTGCAACTGAGTTCGTGCACTGTGCTAAGATTCTTCAGACTCAGGGTTGAGTAAGAAGTAGAACGGACCACTTATGGGTTACACCATGCTGTTAATATGTGCCATGATGTTAATCCGTCGAATAAATAAAAATGAACACACAAACAAAGAAACAGGATGAGAAAACCCGCGAATATAACTACAATGTCTCTGTATCGGAACCCACAGGATTATAGAGTGGGGAAAAAGCCTTCTCCTTCATCACCCACTTATTGTCCACTAACCTTTACCTCAATCTGACCTCTGGTCTCTAGATAACCACTTTTGGCCGGTTGTATTTAAAACTCCACAAGGGAGTTTATTTCCGTAAAGAAACAAAAAATAGCGGAAGGACAGCCCTAAAAATATCCGATAACAAGTTTATTTTAGTGAAGGCATAACATATTTTAGTACAATGTTTATTCTGGAGGTACTTTATTCGGTTACTGAATTAAAAAAAAAAAAAAAAGAACATAAAAAAGCCATTGAAGTAGTCTGTCTATATCTGCAACAGATTCATGACCAGTTGCAAGCTAAGTCTGTACAGACAGACCACTCTGATGAATTCCCCCCCCCCCCCCCCACCCCTCCCCTAAAAAAATGTGTAATGGGGCAATAAGATTAAAAAAAAAACATTTCTAATAAGCCAGATCTGTGAAACTGATGTGCACGCATAGGTCAAGGTCTGGAGCAAAACAAAGTCTGGCTATCCTCCGAATAAAGGTCGGTAAAGATGGCGGCCGCAAAATATCATTTCGAGCCACAGTCACGTGACCTAATATTCGGATATTAGCCCAAAGTCTAGAAATGGATGAACAACCAGAACTTTCCGCCGGTGTTTACAGCCGGTGGACGTAAAGAAGAAGAAGAAGAAGAAGAAGAAGAAGAAGAAGAAGAAGAAGAAGAAGAAGAAGAAGAAGAAGAAGAAGAAGAAGAAGAATTAAATAAAACAAAAGAGACCTACCTTGCTGAGTTTCTCCCCATCCAGCTGTGGAATCAGAGCCTTGAGGTTGCAGAAGCCGGCATTGATGCACTGCATCCGTCGACGCTCGTTGCTGTTGGCAATCTCGCGTCGGATACGCTTCTCATTCTCCTGCACAGCTTTGGGGGAGGAGGGCTGAGACGTCCTGTAAAACAGTGGTAAAACTAATTGACTACACTATCAATGCAACCTGGAAACACAATATAGTATGACAGACCGGGCCCTTAGCATTGGGTTGGCAGCTAGTTTAGGAGGAAAGCTCCAAAAGGCGGAAAGAATACTGCACATCTGATCGGGCAACTTCTGCAGTACGGTTTATTCTACCGCACTTTCCGTAAGAGTTAACGAAGCTGGTGAGATGGGGGTGGGTGGGTGGGTGGGGGGGGGGGGGGGAGAGAAAGAGAGAGAGAGAGAGATTCCCATGCGTCCCGAGGGTACAATGTAACATCATCGCCTAGGAAGACGGAAAAGTGCAAAAAAACAACGCCTCTTTATACGAAAATGTAGATAAATATAAGTCGTTTGATTAAATGTTACATTTTATATGCAGTTTAAAAAAAAAATACACAGGGACCACTCCGTCACCTACACAGGGACCACTCCGTCACCTACACACACACACACACACAAAAAACAGAAGAAGAGGAAGATATGGCACGCTTCCGAACAACGGGCGTAAATAATGAAGGTTTAAAACATACCCTAACAGGGCCTCAATGGGTCATCTAGCATAACTATTGAAAACTGGGAAATAAAATATAATTAACCCTAACTCTAACCCTAAGGCAAAGAACATCTACAACTGCCACGTCATCAATTGGTAGAACATTATTGCTAATCTGTTTCGGAGTGGATGGCCTGTCTGACTTATTTGCCGGAAATAAATCCTAATTTTACATATCACTGAGGCCCTGTAAGTGTATGTTTTTAACCTTGATAATTTACGCTCGTTATTGGGAAGAGTGCCGAAGATATATTCACCATATGTTCAGTAACAGTATGACCCCTTCTTAAATTATTGTCCCTCCCCCTCACCCTAGGCCCCCATTTAGAAGGGGGGGGGGGGGGTGGGTTGCATTGGGATTCTGCTCATTGGAAATGATAGTCCATATACATTAGAGGCGAGGAACCAACAGTCGGCACACAAACATTTGCACGGAAACATCAACTTCTGGAACAAGACTAAAGCTCAGGAGTGGACCAAGAAACATAACTTTACGTACGAGTTTACAGCCGACAAATGCGAAAAAAGACGGAAAGAAAGAAAGAAAGAAAAGGAAAGATAAAGACGAAGAAGAAGAAGAAGAAGAAGAAGAAGAAGAAGAAGAAGAAGAAGAAGAAGAAGAAGAAGAAGAAGAAGAAGAAGAAGAAGAAGAAGAAGAAGAAGAAGAAGAAGAAGAAGAAGAAACATTCAGAACAATACAACGACGTTGGGAAAACCTACAAGGCAAGAACCCTTGACTGATGCCTTTGAAAATTCAGAAGCTTTTGTGAAGACTGGAAGATGACAACGAATGATACAAGACTTCCCTAGCAAGGAAAGATGGTGGATCAACATAGTCTGAAGAGGCCGTGTGGAAAGGGCCAAACAGTGGAAACGAGGTTAAGACAACTGGCTACATCTGCCGCGCTGTAGAAGGCCAGGCCCCCGGGTTGACAGATGTGGGGAAGGGTGCTTTGTTGCCTCCATCGTCGTGACTGGGTGGGTGGCAACGAACCAACACACTTGATTTTTAAAGGGTTTAGAACTGGGTTTTGATCAAATCTGCAGATCAAGAAAGAGCGTTTGATAGAGTAGACAGAAACAAACTATGGGCTTTTCTTAAGGATTCTGGGATAAAAGGGCAGTTGCTAAATAACATCGTGGCCATGTACCACACTTCCCAAAGCACAGTGAGAGCACAAGAAGGCATTCCTCGTGTGGGTTCCGGGGCCCTATTATAGGGAAAACAAGCATAGACCCACTGCCTACCCAAAAGCATGTCGCAAGAGTCGACTAACTGGGAGCTTCCTTTGATGGCGGAATGCATCTGCCTGAGAGGCAAGGAACCAACAGTCTGGATACAAATGAGTCAGATCTGTCAAAAGAAATGCACACGCAATACTCAGGTTCTGGCACAGGACTGCAGTCCAGAAGTGGATGGACAACCAGAACTTTCCGCCAGAGTTTACAGCCAGTGAACGAGAAGAAGAAGAAGACAAAAATGCATGTCTGGTATGTTTACAATCAATACAGGGATAAGGCAGGGATGAGTTCTCTCTTCTCTCTTATTTACTATATACACACACAGAATATTTTTTAAAAAGCCAGCTTTAAATAAGCTGACTAGGAAATCCAGAGGATAAGGAACTTTACTGCCCAGAGAAACTGAATGAGATCCACACACAATAAACGGGCTACTATCTACACACGATCAGTACATGTTCTACAATGAGGGAGTTGACTGGAAGAACATTTATACAGTCTAAGCTCAACAAGCAGAAGATATAATATGAAAATAAATACGACTAAAACTGAAGCAATGCGGGTCAGCATAATTCATAGTCCGCTACATATCGGGTTGAATGGTACTTGTCTGAAGCAAGTCAAAAAATTTAAATATCGAGGAAGTATATTCTCGGAGGACGAGAGAATAGCTCGGGAAATTGAAACAAGATGCCAACGAGCCAGTATACTTATGTATCAACAGACACCGTTTTTAAGACATCCAAACATAAGTATGAGCGCATTGCGCTGAGATTCTTCCGACTCAGGCTTGAGTTAGAAGTAGAACGGAGCACTTGTGGGTTACCACCCTTGTGCCATGACGTTGTTATGTTGAATAAATAAAATAAATAAACAAACGAATGTAAAATTAACACCTGCGAAATGAGATGCCTGATAAAAGCGCCACCTCAACCATCAGAGACAAGGTTAGAAATGATATCAGATAGACTGTAGGAACAACACCAAGCAGAAAATTAATTGAGAAAGAGAAGATCAAGTGGTTTGGTCATTTAGTAAGAATGCAGCCGGAAAAAAACAACCAACGCGACGCTACACATACAAAGATGTGAAGTGAAAACAACAGGCTGTCCTAGATTTAGGATTGATGACATTAAAGAGCTTCTATATAGACATGGAATGACTACAGCCATTGCTGCCCGTCAAGCAATGGATTGTAAACTATTCCAACTGGTATGTGCTTTTTTAAGGCAAATTTCATGTTTAGTAGTTTTCCACTGCCTCCTATACGGTCAGCTCTCTGTATTGCTGTCGAAACCAAAGCAAGGTGGTCTGCTGCCAAATCGCCTGCTGCTGGGACCGAACCCTAACTCCCTTATAATATAGGACTGTCCAAGGAACTCCTTAGAAATTCCCTAGGAAATCTCGAGGCCCCTGAGATGGGGTGAAATAAAAGAATAGAACCAATGGGTACCATGGTCAACAACACGCCGGCAGGCTTTGTTTCCCAGGACATTATCCGATATTTTAGGTTTAGTCGATCTGCGAGCAAAGGTCAAATTTAAAGAAAATAAACGTCTCTATGCTGATCTGAACCGCAGACTGGTGACAGGCGGGCAGCTAGCCACTATGCCACAGCGGTAGAGCTGGTTGTAAAGCATAATGTTTAATCACCTATCGAGTGTTGAAAGTTTTTTTTTTTTCAATATGGACGAGGCATCATATATCAGGCACCAGTTAGGCCAAAATGGTCTTGTACATATAACAGGGTTATTCCGGTCAATATGGCAGATGAGCAGGTTTACTGTTTTAGTGGTGGCCATTTTGCCCTGCTGACAATAGTTAGCTTTGCATTTTCCTCCATGTTCCATCACCCAGGTAATGGGTTAAGTGTTTGGCGCGCACTGTGAGCTATGCTTTTCGACTGTTCCTAGATGGCAGACTGAGAAAATGGCGAGTGGCCTTTTGCCAAAGGACTTGTGGTGACTTATGCGATTACCTGCGTGTGCAACAACTGATCTGTTGTAATTGCTGCTTCCATTGGCGATGAACTGCATTTCTAATATCGGAAATGTTGGCATTTCTGACGGCTGCCTTATGCATTGAATACGTGTGCATGATACTGGCTTCTCCTAGACTACAGTCTGTGTCAAATGTTTTTTCACCATAAAAAGTGGTGGCATTTCTGTGTGGTTTTACATTATACACTAACAGCTGACAGACGTTCCTGACATTTTCTTTCTTCCCCTTTAATGAGTGCCCATAAATACTTGCAAACTGGCGTATCTTTTCGTGGCTCTACCGATCACAACATGCTGCAGCAGGTCAAGGCATTACAACAAATCTATTCAACCAAACTTCAAAGACGTTTAGTCACAGGTGATATACAAAACTTCTACACGGAAAAGAACATTTTCAAGAAACGAAACCAGGAGTGACGTTTTCTAAGAAAAGAAAACACACGCCCCGACATGCTAATTCTTGAAAAAACATATCAGTAAATAAAAAGCTGTCTTTCTAATTCCTCTAAGCTAAAAGAAGCATATATCTATGTATTCGTTACAGGTATAATTCAATTTATTCACTGCAGGAATAGCATAGAGAAGCCCACACCGACAGACAAGTTTTCTTTCACCCCAACCGCTTCAAGAAGATTCCGCTATAGAAAAACGGGAGCAAACGTGGGGCGTCGATAAAGATAGAAAAAAAAAATAAGGAGTCCCGCCGATCGATCCACCGTCAGTGCTCAAAGGCCAACAGACGCAGTATTTTCTCTTCTTCCCGCCAAGCACAAACAGACCCCGGGACCAGGTTTGGGAGGTTTATTGCGTTCGATGTTGGTCCCGTGCCAAAAAAGCGCCGAGACCCCAATAAAACTTGGCATTTGGCCATCAGAGGGCGCCGCGGGAGGGCGGCGGCAGGAGATGTTTCACCTGAGTGACGCGGTCGCCACCAATTCGTTGGGAGGGTTTAAGGTTTATGAAAGAACGAAGTACGTACGGGGCACAAACATTCCAAGTATCTGCATACTTACATTACAACCCTTAAATGTTGCTGTAATGTTGACCCATCCCTCTAACTCGACCACATTCTTTACGTTAAAAACACACACATGTTGTTCCTTACACTTCTTTCTGCCTCTCGATTATGATTACTGATATCAAGAATGTGTTGGTTAAACTTGTTTAATAACGATACGAAGCTTGTTGAAAGCCTGCATTTTGACTATATCAAGACAAAAAAGCTGAACATGATAAACACTATCTTTAAAGATTAACTGGAAAAGATATTTCTCAGTCAAAATCTCACATATCAGGATCGCTTCTTTATTTCCTTTCGACTGCTTTTACCTGGTCACACTTGATCCTGGCGTAAGATTTATAATTTGCGAATTCATATATATATCGTTGAAGTTTACTTTTCCATTCAATAAACTAAACACTAAATGTGAAATGGATTTCTCATAGTTCATTCACTAGAGAAATCATAACATTGAAATCAGTGTGGAAGCAACACGCTCGGGCGCTCAAAAGCTGCAAATATTAATTTAAGAGACTTACTCTAACTTGTTATTGCAGAAATACCATGAATATTTATTCAATATATTTAACATTTATTTTATTTATATTGTTGATTGAGAAAGACGTGCTGAAAGAACCGATGAAAAACGGGCACAGTAAATAAAATTTACTTTGTGAAAGATGACTGTTTGAAAGGGAAGAATGTGAGACACCCCTAGGTGCCCAGTGTGACTAAAAATAAAGTTCGTTCGTTCTTATGCATACAGTATTGTATTTTATTTTCAATATCTGTGGGACACTCAAATGCTTTTTTACGAAAATCAAAGGTAATCTGCTAAAAACGTACACAATTTAGTATAATTAACATGACAGTATAAAGTTGCCAAACAAAACGATTAGCCGCTTGAGCGTATACAGAAAATATAACAGACACGAAAATAGCAGTCACCAGACTCGAAAATAACAGATCTATCAGTTTAAGACTGACAAAACATGACCTTTTAATAGGAAAACCATATGTGCAACTTAAAAACTATTCTAGTGTAATAAAACTGTGTGTATTTTCAGACTACAACTATCTCATGACTACTAGTGAGAGAACAAAATAATAAGAAGACCACAGTGAGAAGCCAAGACAAGCTTGGGATCATCACAAACATATTACTATAGGACAATGTTTGTAGCCCATGCACTATTTCTCACACAAACTAACTTACTTGAGAAGCCCGGCAGCGATTTCTTTCTCCCTGGCTTGTAGTTCGCACACATATCGTCGTCTATCACTGTTTCTTATATCCACTGACATTATGAAATTGATCACTTGCAGAAATTCCACTCCGTTAGCGTAGAGAAATGAAAATGTTTACAGTTAGCAAAGACAACGTGCACGGTAACTCCACGTAAACGCAACTCCAAGGAGTAATAATTGGCGGGAAACAGCTGTTGGCAATTCACATCCGCAACTCATTAAACCCGTTCCAATCACAATTCAAAATTCCTTTTAGAGAAAACAAATATTACATATTCTGTTTAAAAGAAAGGTATTAATTTCTCCGAGATTCATGGAATTTAGGTTCAAAAAAATGTATATTGTTAGAGAAAGACGCTAAAACATGCTGCACTCTTTACCCACGCGGAGCTGCAAGTCACATTCATAATAAATAGTTCCCACTGGAAGGACGCGGGAAGCGAAGATAAACAGTTCCCTGATAGGCCAGCAACTTTACAGGGTAGGAGAACATTAACAAACACTCGACATTTTCAAATATATCCGGAAACTACAAGCGAAGATTCCACAATTACAATTTCAAGATAAACCTAATCCCTTTACTCTTCTTTAAAAAAAATGTTCTACAAGTTGACATAAAGTAAAGGTGTTTAATAATTTCAAGCAGTCAATTCTCTCCTAGAAGGAGACTTCCGCGTCAGGTCAGTAAGGCTGTTGACTACGAGACCTTGCTCCAGGTTGTTCAGAATCAGCTGACTTTGAGACTCACCAGCTGATTGGTCTAAACACATCATTACACATTTTCCAGGCCTACGTGACAAATAGTTTTTATTTTTATTTTTCCATGACCTATGAGTAGGCTTGGGTGTTTGTGTGGTAACAGAACTGGCTGAGTGTCTTTACTGCTACTGTTGTCAGTGATAGGAGGAAAGAAACAACCTCGCTAGACAGATCGATCCTAAGGATTTGTTTCAGTTTGCCGACTGCTTCTAGGTAGGCAAAACATAAACAAGCCGTCTGGATGGCTGGGTAACGACAGCTGCGTACCTTAACATTAACGCTCCCATTATCTTCATAAACAAACAGATGGGAGGAGGTGTTAAGAAGCGCTCTGGGTGGTAGCTCTACATTAGTGGTTCTCAACCTATTAACTTCTTGTAATTTCTCCTAGTCTGGATAGTGTTTGTTTGTTTGTTTGTTCTAGTATCCAGAAGCCAAGAGTTGTTAACCCTTAGGCTCGGTATTATTGTTATCGCAACCTTTCGGCCTTGATTCCATTGTAAATGCCGTAAATCGGGGAGAAATGTGGCTTTTCTGCCTACCCCGGAAGTCAACACGGACCACAAGGAGTTCGTCACCCGGTCACCGCGCCATCCGGTTTAGCCAACTACGCTAGAGAGCCGGGCCTCTGGATAGTGAGATCGGACGCCTGTGTGCGTTGTTACGCACGTAAAAAAAAAAATCCCTTGGCAGTCGGAAATCGAAAAAATTAGCCTAACGACGCTGCCCTGGCAAAATTTCGCGTTTAAAATATACACAAAGTATTTCAGGATCCTCGCCGGTACTACAGGGCCTGTGCACTCTACTGAGCTTCTTTGAACTCAGACTTGAGTAAGAAGAAGAACTGAGCACTTATGGATTACTACCCGTGTGCCATGATGTTGATTCGTTGTTCAAACCTCAAACCTATAAGTCGCGACCCTTTTGTGGGTCGAACCACCTTTTCACAGGGGTCGCCCAAGGCCATCGGAAAACACATTCACTGAAGTTATGGTTGGGGGTCGTCACAACATACAGAACTGTATTACAGGGTCGCCGCATTCGGACGGTTGAGAGCCACTGGTCGATGTAGATATCTGGAGCGCATCCAGGCGTGTGTTTGTAAACAGGGGTATCTCCACGCGGAAATTATTGGTGGGGTGGAGGGGGCGGTAAGCCCCTTCACAACTTTCCAGAGTTTGAGTGCTCAAGAGGCTTAAGCCTTGTTCCAGTGCGCAAAAATAATACTTATTATTTCATTTATGGGTAAAGTTGGCCGCCTAGCCCTTTACAAAGTTATTAGGGGCGGCATTTAACCACGTGTAGAAATTATCTTTAAAATATGTGTTATACATGTCATATTAATTCCTTGTGATCGCGTGCGATGGCGAACCACGACCTCCTACTACGTTTATCGACAGGGAACACTAAACCCCCACTAAACTCAGAACAGTTTATTTGTTAAATATTATCATAATTATCGGGTTCTTTTCTTTTATTTGACCCCATCTCGTGGGTCTCCAAGATTTCACAGGGTATTCCCGGAAACGTACAACAGTATACGGTGTTACGGTGTGAAAGGAAGATCGACTAACCCTAATTCCAACCCCTTCCCCCCTCCCCCTTCTCTCTCCTATAATATAGGACTTTCTAGGAAATTCACTACGAAATCTCGGAACCCCGAGATGTGGTGAGAAAAAAAGGAAAGACAAGAAAAGAGGCCATTATATCATCATCGTCATCATCACCATCATCATAATCATCATCATCATCATCATCAAGTGCCTTGCCAACTTGCTGGGTGACTTGACTCTCCATAGTTTGCGAACCTCCGCTGCATGTATCAGTTCGTGTCCTGACGACACACACCTCCATGCCATGACAAGAAAGGCTGTCAGGAATCATCTCGCGTTATCTTTTTCTTTCTTTGTCCTCACAACTTTCTAGTGGTCACAAGAGATTCCAGCTTCCTTCTTTTCATTTAAAAAAAAAAATTTAGTTTACAGTACGTTGTAGAACCAATCCCAGCCTTTTTAGGCGGATGCTGTTTTTACTTTCAGTAACTTGCCACGGCTCACTGAACAGTCAGCTCTCTGTCCCACTGTCGAAACCAACGCAAGACGGTCTGCTGGTAAATCGCCTGCAGCTACGATTGAAACTGGCACCCCGGCATTACTAAGCGTGTTCGCAACATCTAAGCCACAGACGCTGACTTAACCTGACTGAAAAAAATGACAACTGGCTCTTTATAATGTTTTTGATAAGTTTGGCGGTTGGAAATTTTGTTGTGGTTTATAGCTAGGCTGTGATATCTGCGCTTTTCGGTCCAATATATTCGATTTCAGCGAATCCTTATACAAAGGAATTGGGAGAGTGGAAATTACAATCATATATTCAACACTATGAGAATAATATTATACCTGAAAAAAAAAACACACACACACATTTCAAACGTGAATTATCATGTTTTTGCATTTTTTTTTCCCCCACCCTATCTGGGAGATTAACATTTCGCAGGGAATTCACATGGGAAAGAAAGTCGAGCTAAGACCCCGAATATATGGTTCTACAAAAAAAAAAAAAAAGGGACATGAAAATAATGTATCAGATCTGTAAAACTGATGCACACGCAACACTCAGGTTCTGGAGCAGGACTGCAGTTCAGAAGTGGACGAACAACCAGAACTTTCACCAGAGTGTACAGCTGGTGAACGCGAAGAAGAAGAAGAAGATTATTTCACTGATTTCCTTCCGTAGTTTGAATGGCAACTCGGGCCGGTAGATCCCCACCCACTACTCCCATTTTACGAATATCTTTACTGGGCACTGAAAGTTTACAGAATGTATATTTTGAGCATTGAACATTGACTGAATGTATATATTAGGCATAAGAGATTAACAGAATATATACACACATATACACACATACGCACAAGCACACACACACACACACATTATATATTGGCTTTGGAATTTGACAGAATGTATATAATCGGATTTGGAAACTTACAGAATGTATTATATTGGTATTTGGAAATCGACAGAATATATATACTGGGATTTGGAAACTGACAGAATGTATATATTGTGCATTTAAAACCGCATAATATATATTCTAGGCATTGGACAGAGAGAAAAACAAAATCCGTCTCGAAGCTGGTTTAAACCCCATATTTCCAGTCCGACAAGCGAGTGTCTAGCTCCTGTACTGCCCGGCTGTTTGTTTTTTAGATATACAGTTTGTGGAATGTTATTCGTGGATTATCTCTCAGTCCTTAGGAAGAGAATAGGGGCTTTTGAGCTGAAATGCTATAGAAAGATTCTCAGAATATCGTGGACAAAGAAGATGAGAAATATTGACATCTTAACAGATCTGAACATCCAGGAAGATTGGCTAATAAACAGCATGCTGTCTCGGAAGCTGAAATATTTTGGTCATATCTAGCGCCACGACGGATTTGGAAAAAAAAATTATAGCAGAAGGCATGGTACCAGGAAGGAGGGGCAGGGGCCGACCGACACGAAGTTGGGCACAGGATATAAGTGACTCCTTGAGTGTGAAAGTGCACGACGTGGGAGAACTGGCGAGAGACCGAGTTTCTTTCAGGCAGACTGTGATGAGAGCGACGTTCTGCAAAGGACCTGCTACATGATGATGATGATGGGATACTACTCCCCGGGTGACGTTGGTGATTGGCAGTCTGAGTTTCGATCCCTTGCTTTGCTGGAAACAAAAAGTTACATACAAGCAGCATTCCTGAAGGGGGAGCTTTCGGTTATAATTATGACACAGGTTATGTGCGCCATATAAAATGGTTTAGTATTGCTCGCCACCAAAAGCGCTGAAAAGGACTCCTACAGTGTGGATGCGATCAAAGGAGACAGACCCAAATGCTGTTCCGACCGGCGACAAAGTCGTCTACCGGCGAAGCAATGGGCGACCCGTTCGCTGTTGTGTGTGGCATGTTGAGTGCCTTATACAACTTAAACACCACCGAGTTGCGACACGGATGGATATATATATATATCAAAGGCACAAGAGATGCACAGAAAACTGTTGGGTTGGGGGGGGTGTGGGGCGCCCCTCCCCCCCCCCCATCACCTTTACAAAAGTTATGGGTGAGGGCAGAGCTTCACCCTTTTACACATTTTATAGAGGGCATTCAGGATGGTTAATCCATGCTTAAGTGTGTAATAATAATAATGGGACGAACACCAAATAAATAAAATTTAATAATACAGTGAAACCTCGTTAACACGAAATCCCTTGAGAAGAACATTCGGTTAACTAGAACAAAACTGTTGCCTGAGCAGGTATG